AATGCCGACACACGAACGCCGCCAAGCCTCCTTGCGCGTGAAATGATCTCACACCAGAGTCTGCTGTTTGCTCAACACGGACCACTGACCACGTGGAAACATAAGAAACGACCTCTAAGCCCGGCAGCTGGACTCTCATGGACATGCCAAACACTGAATACTGTGGCTATGGACAGTCTTTAGAAGTTCAAGGACAACGCATTCGATGAAGAAACATCCACGGGTTTCAAAAACTGATGCACCAAAATAAACCTGTCTTTGACCTCACTTTCTGAGAAGCTTTGGGAAGCCTCCTTGTCCGTTGCCACATTGGATTACACGCGTAAACGCTTTTCAGGGCCACGCGGGTGACAAACACGAGGACCTGGGTCCTTGCTGGGACCTGAAACCACAGTGAGGGGACTTGGAGGGCAACTGCTCCATTTGATTCCAGTCGATGCTGCCCTTGTGGACAAACAGGAACCCCACTTGCTAAGTTTTCCCATTCTTTTATTTTGTATTTGAGAGGGAGAGAGGCTTCCATCTGCTGTTTCCATTCCCCAAATGGCCACAAATGGCTGGAGCTGCGCCGATCTTGTAGCCAGGAGCCAGGAGCACTTCCGAGTCTCCCAGGCAGGGTGCAGGGGCCCAAGACCTGGGCCATCTTCCACTGCTTTCACCAGACCACAGCAGAGAGCTGGATCGGAAGTTGAGCAGCTGGGACAGAATGGTGCCCACATGGGATGCAGTGCCTCAGGCGGAGCTTAGCCCCACTACGCCAAGCACCGAGAACTTCCCATTCTTAAACTCTTCCTGTTCCATGAACCATGCGCATGCACATCACACGTATCTTGGCTCTTTATTCCTAAGCTACCCCACTGTGTATTTCTCATGAAGAAAAACTCGACACCACGCTACCTTCGAGCAGGGCCATTGCAACGGGACTCAGAAGGGAGAGTGTCAGGGGCTCCTCCCCAGAGCACCTGGGGGCAGCCACCCGCACTGACACCCAACAGGCTGGAAACCATGGCGCTACACCCTGTCCCACCATCGGTGAAAGCAACGCTCCAGCAGGGCACGGCTGGGGGTAAACTCCATGTATGCACCGATCTACTCGTCTATCACATGCCTGTGCAACATCCGCTTAAAGAACGGGACTCGGGGCCGCGCTGTGGCCCAGCGGGGAAAGCCCTGGCCTGAAGCTCCAGCATCCCATATGGACGCAGGTTCAAGTCCCGGCTGCTCCTCTTCCGATCCAGCTCTCTGCTGCGGCCTGGGAAAGCAGTGGAGGATGGCCCAAGTCCCTGGGCTCCTGCACCCGCGTGGGAGACCCAGAAGAAGCTCCTGGCTCCTGGCTTCAGATCTGCTCAGCTCTGGCCACTGCAGCCATTTGGGGAGTGAACCAGCAGATGGAAGACCTTGCTCTGTCTCTCACTCACTCTCTCTGCCTCTCTGTAACTCTGCTTTTCAAATAAATAAAAAACTCTTAAAAAGAAGAACAGGACAAAACTAAAGTCGAAGTTTTCCTCCTGCACTCCCAGGGAGCACCCTGCACCCTCCAGGGGCCAGTGCCTCCCAACCACAGAGACCAGTGCTCCACTCCATGCAGGTTGAACCCGAGCAGCACCCACCGCCACCCCCGAAGCCAGCCTGGGCCTGCTCCCGCCAGCCTGCTCCGTCACCACCTACGGTGCTACCGCACCCGGCCCTCAGCCCACGGCACACACTTCGCGTGCTGATGTGTCTCCTGTCTCCACCTCCTCCCACCAGTGCCAGCTGCTGAAGAGTCAGGAGCCCGCTTGTCCTGTCCACACCCAACTCTCAGCACCTAGGACAGGAGCTGCACCTGCAGGGAGCTCACCAGACACCTCCCAGGGTGAGGCCACCCGGCTGCCCCTGGCTCCTGCAGCCCTGTCCCCCACGAGCCCCATGGGAAGACGCTGTTACCCCTGCCTGCCACCGAACAGAGCTTCGCCTCACAGCCCTTCCGTGGAGGGCGAGAGGCTGAGAACAATCTAGTTCCTGGCGGAAGACCCAGGCCTGTACTCTCAATTTGATAAACACATGAAACTATGTATCTCTTAACGCACTTCTACTTAAAAAAAAAAATCAATTGCAAGCTGAAGGAGCATCTTAACAGGGGGCTTGGCTCCTCCTCGCAGGGGAGGGAGAGGGCCGAGGGGCGGGTACCTGATGGTGTCCCACACGTCGAAGCCGTCCAGGGGCTTGGTGCCGCCGGGTGGCGCCCCTGCCAGCCGCGCCAGCGTTGGCAGCCAGTCGGAGATGTGCAGCAGCTCCCGGCTCTTCACGCCCTTCCGCTTCAGCAGGGGGCTGGCCACAAAGCCCACGCCGCGCACGCCGCCCTCCCACAGGCTCCACTTCCTGCCGCGGAGGGGCCAGTTGTTGCCCCCGGCCAGAGTCTGTCCGCCGTTATCTGAAACACAACAGGGCCTTGTCGTGAGCACATGGAAGCTTCCGGAATCCTGAGAGAGGTGCTGGTGTCGACTCTACCGAACCTGCTCACTGAGTGACTGACAGACTGAATCAATGAGTGAATAAATGAATGGATGTCACCAGGGCGTTAGACTGAGGCCTCTCCTGTGTTTTGACCGGCCCACCACAGCCCACAGAGAACACTCCAGAAAGACTCGGCCCAACCCTGCCCGACGTGCACCCTCCCCCAGCCTCGTCCTGGCCAGGAACCCTCAGGGCTTCTGCCTCAGAGGAGCCCACGCGATCCTCCTCACATCGCCTTAGGAGACCCCGTGCCTCCACCACGCTAAGCACGTGGGCCACTGTGCTCACTGCCCGTGGGCGTCCCTGTGGGTTGGGGGCCAGGCAGGGTGATACCACACATGTCAGTATTAACCAGTGCTTATGGAATGAAGGGAAAACTCATACCTTCCCCCCTACTAACCACCTCTCCTGTACCAACCACCCCTTCCTTACCAACCCCCTCTCATAACCACCTCTCCTGTACTAACCACCTCTCCCGTACTAACCACCCCTCCCATACTACCCACCTCTCCTGTACTAACTACCTCTCCCGTACCAACCCCCTCTCCTGTACTAACCCCCTCTCCTGTACTAACTACCTCTCCCGTACCAACCCCCTCTCCTGTACCAACCCCCTCTCCCATACTAACCACCTCTCCCGTACTAACCACCTCTCCCGTACTAACCACCTCTCCTGTACTAACCACCTCTCCCGTACTAACCACCTCTCCCGTACTAACCCCCTCTCCTGTACTAACTACCTCTCCCGTACCAACCCCCTCTCCTGTACCAACCCCCTCTCCCATACTAACCACCTCTCCCATACTAACCCCCTCTCCCGTACTAACCACCTCTCCTGTACTAACCACCCCTCCCGTACTACCCACCTCTCCTGTACTAACTACCTCTCCCGTACCAACCCCCTCTCCTGTACCAACCCCCTCTCCCATACTAACCACCTCTCCCATACTAACCACCTCTCCCGTACTAACCACCTCTCCCGTACTAACCCCCTCTCCTGTACTAACTACCTCTCCCGTACCAACCACCTCTCCTGTACTAACCCCCTCTCCCATACTAACCACCTCTCCCGTACTAACCACCTCTCCCGTACTAACCCCCTCTCCCGTACTAACCACCCCTCCTGTACTAACCACCTCTGCTGTACTAACCCCCTCTCCTGTACTAACCACCTCTCCTGTACTAACCCCCTCTCCCGTACTAACCACCTCTCCTGTACTAACCACCTCTCCTGTACTAACCACCCTCTGCTGAACTAACTACCCTCTCCTGAACTACCTTCTCCTGAACTAACTACATTATTTCATACTAAGCACCCTCTCTAATACTAACTACTCCCTCTTGTACTAACTACCCTCTCCCACACTATCTTAATACTAACTATCCTCTCTGAAACTAACTACCCCCGTCCTGCACTAACCACCCTCTCTAGTACTAACCACATGATCTCACACTAACTACCCTCTCCTGCACTAACCACCCTAATACTCACCACCCTCTCTCATATTAACTACTTCCTCCCATACTAACTCCTTTCTCCCATACTAACTACCCTCACCTGTACTAACCACCATCTCCTGAACTAACTAGCCTCTCCTGTACTACCTCTCTAGAACTAACTACCCTCTCCCATACTAACTACCCTTTCCCTCTCCAGTACTAGTCTTCTCCCAAGCTACCTTCTTCTGTTCTAACTACTCCGTCCCATACTAACTACTGCTTCCTCAAACTAGTACCATCTCCTGCACTAACCACCCTCTCTAGTACTAACCACATGATCTCACACTAACTACCCTCTCCTGCACTAACCACCCTCTCGCATGCTAGTAACCCTGCTCCCTCCTGACGCTGTAGTCAGTACAGATGTAACCAGAGGCCGGAGCAGGACACATCTGCTATGAGACTTCTCAGTCGAGCACAGGCCCTGATGCCACACTGCGTGCTTTGTGCAGATCCCTGCATGTCACCCAGCACAGCATGGGGCATGTTCGTGTGAGCTGGCATCCCCATGTGTCACCCAGCACAGCACAGGGCATGTACACGAGGTCTGGGATCCACACCTATCACCCAGCACGTGGCATGTTCACATGAGCTGGGATCCACACGTGTCACCCAGCACAGCATGTGGCATGTTCACGTGAGCTGGCATCCCCATGTGTCACCCAGCACAGCACAGGGCATGTCCACGAAGTCTGGGATCCACACCTATCACCCAGCACAGCACGTGGCATGTTCATGTGAGCTGGATCCACACGTGTCACCCAGCATGGCACATCCACGTGAGCTGAGACCCACACGTGTCACCCAGCACGGCACATGGCACATCCACGTGAGCTGAGACCCACACGTGTCACCCAGCATGGCATGGGGGGCGTCCACGTAAGCTGAGATCCCCGCGTGTCACCCGGCACAGCACGTGGCACATCCATGAGAGCCGGGATCCCCGCGTGTCACCCGGCACAGCACTGGTTACATCCATGAGAGCCGGGATCAGGCATGCCACCCAGCACGGCACAGGGTACATCCACGTGAGCTGGGCCCCACATCCATGGAAGGAAAACCGTGTCTCACGTGTTTACGTAAAGCTCCCAAGCAGTGGGATGTGGGCCTCATCATACCTCCGGGACAACGTCTCAGCGTCCACACTGGTCACTGAGCTGACATCTGCAGTGACCTGAGCACTATCAAGTGTGGAAGACTTCTCGGTGGTCTACAAACGTCCCTGCAAACAGAGCAGTGGGGACAGGGGTTCTGGGGGGAGACCCCTCCCCACAGGACAGCGAGAACTCCCACGGAGTGTGCAGAGCAGTGGGGACAGGGGTTCTGGGGGGAGACCCCTCCCCACAGGACAGCGAGAACTCCCACAGAGTGTGCGGGCAGTGGGGGAGGAGGGTTCTGGGGGGAGACCCCTCCCCCAGGATGGTGAGGTGAACGCCTACGGAGCGCAGACCCAGGGCAGAGAGAGCTGCTGCTCCCGGGCCCCAGGCAGGGCAGGCGGGTGGCGCCGAGTTGCTGGGGTCAGCATCCCCACCCGGGCGAGGGCTCAGGGCTGGACTGCGGAAGACAAGCAGGGCTGCCACTGTGTGCTGCTGGCAGACTCGCACCCGTGTCAGAGGTGACCCCGGAGACGCCTTCAACAGGGCACTAGTTGGTGTGTCTGTCACATGGAGACATTTCTAAAAAACCTCTGTAATCCAAAGGAGCCTCGGGAGGGTAGTGTGGACGACCTGCTCGAGGGTATACAGCCATCTCCCCACTACCACAGGGAGGTATACAGTCGTCCACTTCACCATGTGCAGGTATACAGCTGTCCTCCTCATCACAGGGAGGTAAATACCTCACGATGGGGAGGTATACAGTCATTCCCTCACCACAGGGAGGTATACAGTTGTCCACAACATGGAGGTATACAGCTGTCCCCTCACCACAGGGAGGTATACAGTCATCCACTTCACCACACGGAGGTATACAGCCGTCTTGCCCTTACCCAGGGGAGGTATACAGCCGTCTTGCCATTACCCGGGGGAGGTATACAGCTGTCTTGTCATTACCCGGGGGAGGTATACAGCCGTCTTGCCCTTACCCGGGGGAGGTATACAGCTGTCTCCCCCTGCCCACGGGGAACATGCTGCGAGACCACCTGCGGATGCCTGGAGCTGCAGACAGAACTCAACTCTACGGGCTGTTTCTCCCTGAACACTCACGCCTACGGTGAAGTCGGAGTTCTCCATCGGGCACGGTAAGAGAGGACTAACAGCAGCTAAGACGACGGTGACGGTGACCGTGGAACTCACTGTAGCTGCGCACGGCAGTAAAGGGCGCCCAGAGCCCGGGCAGGAGGAGGGGGCTCAGGCGGATCTGATGTAGAACGCGGCCGCTGTGTACTCCTGACATTTTCCACTTCCTACTTCCAGACCACGGCAGGCCATGGGTGACAGAAACCGCAGAAAGGGAAGCCGTGGACAGGAGGGACCACGGCACATGGAGTCTGTTCCCGAGATGGCAGACTGCTCAGAACCACGGAAGCACCCGGGAGAGCAGAGCCAGCATTTGGGGACGAGCACGGGCTGCGCACCGGGCACCGCGTGAAATTTGCATGTACGTGGTTGAGAGAGAGACAGTTCCCACCGCTGGTTCACTGCCCAATTACCAGGAACTGCTGGGGCCGGACCAGGCTCAAACCAGGAGCCAGAACCCAACCCGGGTCTCCCACATGGGTGCCGGGACCCAACTACTCGAGCCATCACCACTGCCTCCCAGGGTGTGCGTGAGCAGGAAGCAGGAAGCAGAGCTGGGACACGGGTAACAGGCACGAGATGCAGGCACCTGAACTGCTAAGCCGGACACCTGCCCGACACCGCTGTGGCTCCTGGTATCTTTCCAGGGCTGGGGTTGGACAGACCCGAAGCCTGGTGCTGGCCACTGGCACGAGGCCCCTTGGGACCCTCACCCCGAATGAGGAGACCCGGCCCCTCCCTCCTGTACTGCCTGGGAATGAAATGACACCATTTACAGTGAGCACATGGCAGGGCGAAGGCCACAGCCTCGGTGCTCAGTCAGCTGCAGCGGCTCTGTTGTTTCAATGTTTACATAAACCCAAATGCTGGGTCAGATAACTGCTTCATTGCTTTAAAAAATGTGGTGTGAAGAGGCCCAACAGCTGGGGAGTGGCAAGGTGGGGATTCCCACAATGTGCGTCTCCCCAGGCGACAGTAACCTGGGCACAGCACACACCTTCCCGGGGTGGCAGGAGAACGGGTTCAGTTCCCTCCAGGAACTGCCGCTTACGAGTAAGAAACTCAAGAGCTGGGGCCGCGCTGTGGTGCAGCCGGTGAAGCTGCCGCCTGTGATGCTGGCATCCCGGATGAGTGAGTCCCATGTGAACTCCCGGCTCTATGCCTGGGAATGCAGTGGAAG